TAGTTCATTTTCAACATAAGGTCTAGTGAGTACCACTACTGCATTTGTTCACCCTTTGTCCCTCCATTTCTGTGTCTTTCTTCCCCTCCCCAAGACAGATAAACACACAAACAAGACAAAAGGAAATGAAAACAGTTTTTTTTGCGTGGACAGCCTTTATTGGTGGCAATGGTAACATGAAACATGTCAGTTCTCCATTACGGGGTGGCGTCCCCAGACCCAGGCTCCCTTTGAACCGCATGAGAACACTTCTTGATGAATCTGTTCTGCGTTTTCTTTGCCTTCATGACTTTGTAGTGGTCGAAGTCTGTCCTTTGGGTTTCCCTTCTCTGGCTTCAATTGTCTTGGCCCACCTTGTGGCTGCTCATTTTGTGTTGATAATCTGCCTTCTCCCAGGCTTTTTACACGTACTTCTGATGGCATTTCTGGGAACGTGAGGATAAAGTCAGTGAGCTGCATGCATTTAAAAGGCACTGGCGTGTGTGGCCCATCCACCAAGGCCCTGTACTGACCAATAATACATACAATTACCACCAGCTTTCCAGCTTGATGCCCACAGGAGACGTAGGCCACCTGCTGACCTCCGTGGAACACCTGAACACTGTGTTGGCAGCGTCAGGCAAGAAGCCAGGCTTTGTCCCTGTTTTTTGAAAGTAAAGGTGTATAATGAGTTCTAGCCTGTGTTGTGACTGGAAATTATGTGTACCACTTTAGGGTTGAAGTTTATACGCATCCTGTGTACCTTACACATTGCACTTTCTTTCTTTCTTTCTTTCTTTCTTTCTTTCTTTCTTTCTTTCTTTCTTTCTTTCTTTCTTTCTTTCCACTTAACTATTAAAGTAGACGTCCCAATGTCCATTTTTGTATTAAAGTAATACTGTCTTCATAAAATGAATTGGGATGTATTTTGGGGCATCTACCCAGAGCATTACAAGTCAGGAGATGGTACAGACCCTTGCACATTCATGTTCATTGCTGCGGTTTTCACAGTAGCCAAGTGGGAACAGCCCTACAATAGATGAATGGGTCAGGTGAGTGGTACAGATGCACAATGGGGTTTTACTCATCCATTAGAAAAAAATAATATGTCATTTGCAGGGAAATGGATGGATCTAGAACAAATCACATTAAATGAAATAAATCAATCTCAGGGAGATAGATGACACATGTTTTCTTTCACATGAGGAAGCTAGATCTAAAATACAACTGGACATGATCACTATACCGGACTCCAGCACTCACACACACACAGTCAGACTGAAGTAGGTTACTCGTTGGGGAGGAACGAGGAGGCACAACCCCTCTGAACATTAAAAATATTATTCATTGAAATGAAGTCCAAGAAGTGGAAACATTTTTTTCTTTCTAGGGGGCCAAAGCCACCAAGAGTGGCTGAACCATTTTAATATTTCCATTAGCAATGTACATGTTTTCTCTACACCCTTGTTCTCTATTATATCACTTGGTATTGCCTCTCTTTTTAATTTTAACCAACATAGTGAGTGTGAAGTATATCTAATTTTGGGTCTGATTTGCATTTCTCTAATAACTTAATGATGATCTTGCTCACCATTTTTATATACTGTTGACATATATATTTATATATTTTTCTCATTTAAATATTTCTGTTGTTAACCTATATGATTTATTTGTATAGTCTGAATATTGGCTTCTTGTCAGATATGTGATTTTTAAAATATCTTCTCCCATTTTGAGTTGTCTGTTCATTTCTTGATGATGTCACTTAGAGTATAGAAGATTTTTCTAACTTTTATTTTTGTTTTTCATCAGTTGTATTTTTTTTCTTTTTTGGCAGTATAGAGGTTTCAACTAAGGTCACTGTATGTGCAAGGCAGTTGTTCTACCACTTGAATTACACCTTCAATATTTTTTGTATTTGTATTTTCTGTTTTTGATTTTGTTATCAATGCCCTCTCTCTTTTTAAGAAAAATTCCCATTGCTTCATTTGGATTTATGCTGCTGATGGGCTTGATCTCAGGAAATGGGCTCTCTCTCTGAGCTTTTCTCTCACAGCTAGTGCTCTACCACTTGAGCCATGGTTCCACTTCAGACTTTTGGGTGGTTAATTGGAGATAAGAGTCTCATGAACTTTCCTGCCCAGGTTGACTTTGAACCAGAATCTTCATATCTCAGCCTCCCGAGTAGCTAGGATTACAAGTGTGAGCCACCTGACACCCATTTCTTTGTTGCTTTTAAAATAATTTTTTTATAGCTGCTTGAAATATAAGCTCAGATTATTGAGACCTGTTTCTTTATGACGTGCATGATAAACATAAAATTCCCTTTTGGCACTGTTTTGTCTGTATCCCACAAATTTAATATATTTTATTCTCATTTTAATTCAGTTCAGTTTACTTCTAAATTTTCTATGAGACCTCTGCCCTAGTTGGCATTCTAACTTGGCCAAGTTAGCTTGGGATGCCTGTTGGTCTGGGTGTGTTGAAGTCTGCCTGTTGGTCTGGGTGTGTTGAGGTCTACCTGTTGGTCTGGGTGTGTTAAGGTCTGCGTGTTGGTCTGGGTGTGTTGAGGTGTACCTGTTGGTCTGGGGGGTTGAGGTCTGCCTCGTGGTCTGGGTGTGTTGAGGTCTGCCTGTTGATCTAGGGGGTTGAAGAGGTCTTCCTGTTGGTCTGGGTGTGTTGAGGTGTACCTGTTGGTCTGGGTGTGTTGAGCTCTACCTGTTGGTCTGGGCGTGTTGAGGAGGTCTGCCTGTTGGTCTGGGTGTGTTGAGGAGGTCTGCCTGTTGGTCTGGGTGTGTTGAGGTCTACCTTTTGGTCTGGGGGGGTTGAAGAGGTCTGCCTGTTGGTCTGGGTGTGTTGAGGAGGTCTGCCTGTTGGTCTGGGTATGTTGAGGTCTACCTGTTGGTCTGGGTGTGTTGAGGTCT